TTTTATATTTTATTTAGAGACAGGATCTCATAGAGTTGCTCAGGCCTCCCTAAATTGCTGAGGCTGGCTCTGAACTCGAGATCCTCCTGCTTCAGCCTCCCGGGCTTCTGGGATTTCAGGCGTGCACCACCACACCCAGCAAGACCAAGTTTTGTAGACATTACACAAAGACATAGAACATGGTGGAGAGACACAAGAGCTCAAGGAAATGGCAAGACAGAAGGATGAGGATGAACCAGCAGAACTGAGTCAAGAAGTGAAAAAACATGAGTCCCAAACATGAGGCCAATGTTGGAAACATCGCCAGGGAAGAACGGGCAGTGCCGAGAAGAGACAGGAAGACAGGAAGAGAAAATTCACCTAAATTACACGTAGGAGCGCACCCCATGATACCCCATCAGCACACAGGATTTTTATGTGTCAATTAAAAAATAAATATAAAAAAGATTTGGAAATCATGAAAAGTAAGAACTGAAGAAATAGGAAAAAAAAAAAGAATTAGCCAAAATGAAATGTAAATAAAGAGGGAAAATGATCAGTTGAGAAAATGACTAGACACTGAAGAAAAAAAAATAATAATGTAGCAGAGTAATTATTTAAAGACCATCTGAGAAAATTTTTCAGAAATAGGAGTTGCTGTATAGCTTGCAGGAAAAAGTGGCACAGGGTGTTTGTCCCCTGCTGAACATAACAGTTTTATTCCTGGGCTGGGGATGTGGCTCAAGCGGTAGCGCGCTCGCCTGGCATGCGTGTGGCCCAGGTTCGATCCTCAGCACCACATTCAAACAAAGATGTTGGGTCTGCCAAAAAAAATAAATATAAAAATATTTTAAAATTCTCTCTCTCTTAAAAAAAAAAAAAGTTTGATTCCATGTCATTTATAGTGGCAGAGACCTGTGTGACGGAGGTCTGTGTGTTTCCCAAGAGTCTTCATTAATTCTCAAATCCCCTCCTCTCTCAGAGGGTGGGATACTATCCATAAATGAGTGGAACAAAAGCTTTTTATGAGTCTATAATCTTCTGGTTTGTACCTGTTGTCTTAGCCTCTTTGTCCCCAAAGACTCTGTTTGCATCCTTGGCTGTTTGGTCACGGTGGCTGAGGAGGACAGGCTGCAGTGGGATGGGGCACAGCTCTCCTGGAGTCCTGCTGCCTCCAGGGACAGAAGCCCCTCTCAGCCCTTAGTGACCTCGGGTACAGCCTTCCATGCTCACAGTGCCCTGGCCACCCACCACCCGGCACCAGCCTTGACCTCTGCAGGACTGTGATGGCCTGAAACCTCACTGGGCTTCTGCTGGGCTCCAGAGACCCAGAAGCCCCTCTTCTCTTCCTCCCTCCCCTCCTGCCTACCCCCTCCTCTTTTTTCCCTCTAGGATTTCTTAAACTTATTTTTTCTTTTAAATGATGAAAAATTTAAATGCCAGAGAAATACAGATACAAATGACACTGGATTTGCTGTTTGGATCCAGATCTCTCTTTAGACACTTGTGTGCCCCCCCAGAAGAGCTCTGAATGCAGAAGCCAACAGGTGTCACGTCCAAGCCTCTTTTACACCTCTACCTGTAAGAGCTTCTATTGAATGTGTCCTTGTTTAAAGTTGAAATTCACATAAAACTAATCATTTAAAACGAACAATTCAGTGGCATTCAGCTCGTTCACAATGTTGTGCAAACAATACTTCTGTCTAGTTCCCCACGTTTTCATCTCTCCAAAAGTAAACCCGTGCCCACTACACAGATGCGTCCACCTCGCGGCTTCTCAGGGCCCAGGCCCCTTTGTTTGGCTGAGTGTTCCATCCTGGTACCACCGCTGCAGCTTTGGAGGAGGGTGTGGCGGGGGGACTGCAGGGTTCCCAAGGCAGAGGTCCCCTAAGTGTAACGTGAGAGGCACAAGAGCAGCCGACTGGGCACTGATTCCCTTTGATGGCACATCCTTAAACAGGCCAGGAAGGTCCAAGTTCATTGTCCCAGGCAGGGAGGCCAATGTGGGAAGGTGCCTGGGCCAGTCAGAGCAGGGTGAGGACTGGAAGCAGGGCCCTGACCCCTTGTGTTAAAGTGAGTCTGTGGGACGTTGATCTGTGAGGGAATTGGGTGTCGATACAAGGCCAACACGGGAAGAAGAATTGATTACGTACATTTTCCAATAGAAGAGGGCATGCGTCACCACGCAGGGCCACACGGGGACACACTGAGTCTGGCCAGGAGGCCACAGGAGCCAGAGGAAGGCCTGGGCCGCTGCCTGTGTGGGGTCTCCAGGAGGAAGGCACGGCAGGGCGGGAAGGAGCTTAGGACTGGGGGCGTGAGTGGTTCCAGAGGGCCCTGGGTCACGGGCTCTCCCTAGCCTGGGGGACTTAGAGATAAGAAACTTTGATAAAGGAGATGTTGGGGGTCTGGAGTGAGGATTGGTTGGAGGGTTTACGATTGATTGATTGATTGATTGATTGATTGATTGATTTGAGGCATACCCTGCTATGTTGGCCAGACTGGCCTTGAACCTCCAGGCTCAAGTGATCATCCTGCTTCAGCCCCCGCAGTCGCTGGAACTGCACCCGGCTATAATTTTGGACACCCATGAAAGCTGTCAGTATAAAGCACCTTAGCCATCCATGTGACCTTGGATGAACTAATGCCAAGTAGGCAAATGATTCTAAGAAAACACACCCCTGCCAGGGCTCTGGGCTCTGCTCTAGGCTCTTCTGAAGTCAGTGGCCCAATAAGACCCAGAAACCTTATCCCCCTCTTCCTCTCCATCCAGCTAACCCCAGGCGGTGCATTTGGTGGTTTCCTTTCTTCTGCTCCCTCGGGAGAAAAGCCGGCCAACTACTGACCTCTGGCACCCAGGCCTTGTGCTGCTCCAATCAGAAGTCCCCCTGGGGACAGCCCTGAGGCAGGAGCCTGGACCTCACACAGACAGCAACCTCCCAACTTTATTGTGGGGCTGGAGCGCCCTCTGTGGGGAGACTAGGGAACAACGCATTTTAATTTCCACCGCTTACTCAGTGGGACCTTTCAAACCAAGTAGTTAGGGCTCTGGGAGAAATTTCTCTTTCCCCACTAATGCCCTTCGTGGAATTCACCCAGGTGCTGTTGATGAAAATGTATAAATCAAACATCCACTGTGCACAGAGTACCCCTCCCACTTACAAACAAGTCACGTACGGACCCAAATACCTGCTGCAATGAGCTTATTGGGTGAACCCAATTTCCAAGCTGCTAAGGTGATGGGCAGCATGTGGCCAAGATCAGACAGATCAAACAAGGGGGCTGGAAGAGTGGGAGGGGCAGAGGCAACCAAGGAGACCAGGGAGGGCTTCCTGGAGAAGGTGGCATCTGCACTGAGCTCTGAAGGGGAGCTGGATTTCAGAAGGAGAGGGACGGTGCCTTCCCTACTGTTCCTCAGTCCCTGCCTGTCCCTCCCTTCTGCTCACCAACCACGGGAATCACCAAGTCCCAGTTCCTCAAAATGTCTCAGAGGAACAAGGTAGTGTCTTACCCCACGCATCTTATGCCCTAGACTGCTACTGAGCACTTGGGATTGGAACCCTGCACTTTGCTGCCTGTCCTGGCTCCACCTCTTCCCTGCCCAGTGGCCTTGCTCACTCACTTTCAAGGGTACCCTCCCCCCCCCAGCCTCCAGCAGCTCTCTGAGTTCACCTTGGGGGGTTGAGAATCTTGATTCTTTTGAGAAAAGTTTGCAATGCTGAGATCCTGGCTCTAGCTTGCAGGGGATACAGGCCTTAGCCTAGCCCTCCATGCTGATTTAGGGGATCCTCTTTGCCTCCCCTCTTTTTTAGATTATTCCTCCATTCCGTGGCCACAAGGGGGCAGCACGGAGCAAAACACACACACACACAAACACACACACACACACACAAACACACACACACACACACAGAGGGAAAAAAAACCTCCTGATAGCAGCCGGGCCAAACATCTCCTGTCCTAGGGAGAGGAATACTCAATGCTTCTGCCCCTGCACGAGGTCCCAGACAGAGCAGCTGGCTGGATGAGTGGTAGAACTGGAATGTAGAGACTCTAGCTCTTTTCCTTCCTACCCACGGTGTCCCAGTCTTGAGCTGGGCCTGGGCAGAGGGGCCTGGGGGTGGGGTGCACTGTGCCCATCTCATCCTTAAGAATACACGTGGGTTTCCAGAGTGGCTCCTGCTCCTGCTGTAATGCAGGAGTTGAGACTGACAGGCACACAGGGGCATCACTGGGAGAGCAACCCTGCACCAGGGGCGGCGCCACAGCAGCCTCTAGGAGCTGGAGGGGATTCAGCGGGCGTGAGGTTGAGGCAGCGGCTCTGCTCGGGCTGGGCTGCGCTGATTGGGGTGGAGGTGGGGTCCGCTGGAGTCGGGAGGAACTGTGGGTCCCTGGGCCAGCCTGCCTGGGGATGGAGGGGGGGGAGTGGTGAAGTGGAGCGGGAGGGGCTGGGGCTGCAGTTTGAGCGGGGAGGGCAGGCAGGGCGCTGGCCGTGCGGATCTCCCAGGGCCCGCGGGTGCAGTGGGCGCCGGGGGCTGAGCCGTGGGGGCGACGGGGCCAGAGCTGCCGGAACTGGCCCCCCCGTCCCCCGCCCCCCGCGCCAGGGAGCTGCGGCGCTTGCAGAAGAACCCCATGTGGAAGGAGAAGCCCCAACTCAGCGCCGCGTGTGGCCAGACAGCGGCCGGCTAGAGGGGGCGACTGAGAGACTCGGGGGCACAGAAGATGGGAAAGAACCCCCCCAGCCTGCCCAGGACCCCCACCTGCCGGCACACACAGCAGGCAAGAGGGACAGCCTGGGGCTGGGGCTGTCCTCCCGGCCACCCGCGCCCCGCCCACACCTGCCGCCCCGCCCTCCCAGTCCTCCCCTCGCTTCTGCTTGGTCCGCAGCGGCCACGCCCCCGTCGCCTCCGTTTCCCTTTGTGACCAGGGCAGGCCAGGGCCCGAGGTCCTCTGAGGACCCTCGCCCAGTGAAGGCAGGAGTGGAAGTGTGGGCTGTGCGGTGGGGACAGAAGACACTGACCCAGGCTGGGGAGGAGACTTTATTCAGGCCCGCGGCTTCAGTCCAGCAAAGGAGCCAGGGTCCTCTGGCTCCTCCCCTTTGTCCTTGTGAGGCCTCCACGGGCCCGGGGCTCCGGGTTGGGGTGATGAACTCCCACACTGGAAGTCTCCAAATGGTCCGGAGCAAATCAGGGCTTCTGAGTGATGGGGCCAGGTGACTTCACAAGTCTCTGCAAGAATCTAACTGCCTTCGTCACGTGCCTGTCCTTGGGGTCCGAACAGATGGACTTGCCCTGCATGGTGACAAGCCTGCAAGGAGGGGGGGCCACAGGCTCAGTGGTCTCCACACTCTCAGGACCCCACCTCGGTCACAGCCCTCCCGGGAGCCAGGGCTGCAGGACCTGGCGCCCACCCCTCAGACCACCTGTGCCCAGACCCCCTAGAGCCTGGGAAGCAGAGGAAGGGCCTGGGGCTCAGCTGTCCCCACCAGCTCAGGATCAGGACAGGGAAGGTCAGCATGGGCACTGACTGGCCCCTCAGACAGGTTGTGCAGCTGCCCCTGGGGCAGGCTGCTGGTCGAGGGGAGGAAGGGCCGCCCTCTTCTCCCTGCTCCCCAGCCATCCCCGGAGCGCCAGCAGCCAGCCACCTGCTCCCATGCACAGTCCCAGGAGCTGCAATGGGCGGAGGGGACTTACACAATGGCATCCTTGGGACACTCGGCTGAGGTTCTGTACCAGGTCACCAGCTTTCTGATGGGAATGGCCCCCTTGAAGAACTCCATGCAGCACTCCCGGCCCACGTTGGTGGCTCGAGCTAGGGAGACAGCAGGAGCCAGGGTGACCCCAGGGTCTGGCAGGGGGTCTGCACATGGTGACTGTATACGTGTCCCCGTGCCTCTGTCTGGGTTAGGTCCATGTTCATGCGTCGGGGGTGCCTTGTCCCTAATGTGTGTGCACCAGTGAGGCCTCGTGTGCCGTGGGGGGTCTGGTATATGTGTGTGTCTCTTTATCTGTGTGTATCTCTGTGTGCACCTGTGTGTGTCTCTACCTAGCAACCTTTATTTCAGCTTTCCCAACTGAATATTTTATAGTTTACAAGATATCATTATTATAAAAATATTTTACATCTTCTCATGTACTTGGAAACAATTCTGCTGTCTCTATGCTGTTTCCCTTATTGTATATGAAACCCACTAATAAAGCAGACAGCTTAGAGGATGATCTTCTCTGCACTGTAATGCACAGCTGGGGCTGGGGCCTCCTGGCCACTGCAGCTGAGATGCCTGCCCCTTCCCAGGCCACCTGTGCCCTGCTCTCACCTGCACGGATGCTCTGCAGAGAAGCCCCAAGGAGGAGGGCGGCCAGCAGCAGGGTCTTCAGGGGCGACATGGTGTCAGGAGCCCAGGAGAAGGTCTGGTGCCTGTCTCAGGGGAGACTGGGTGAGAGCCAAGCATGCAAGTGACCTATTTAACCTCTTTGGGGGTCTTGCCCCGCCTCCTGCCGCCTGCCTCCACACCCTTCCTAGACCAGGGTAATTCAAAGAATTGGAGATGATTCAGTAGAAGTCCAGTCTTGGAATGTTTGTGGCTTTCCAGAGAATGGACATTCAAATGGGGACAGAGGTGGGGTACATGTGTCCGGGGGCTTGAGCAGTGACATACTTCTCCTTTCAAAGAGGACATTTCTTGGTTCCTCTATCAGCAGAGCCGAGAGGCTGGGCTTGCTCCTGCCCCGTCTGCACGGGTGGTGTTCGATGGGCCCTCTAGAGGAACAGCCACAGGATCCGTCGACATAGAAATACATCTGTATGTATATACGCACACACACTCAGAAGAGAATAAAAAGAGCTTACATGGCCAGCAGCTGGACAGTCCACAATGGCCGCCCACAGGCTGGAGAGCTGGAGGGAGCAGCAGCTGCTCAGTCGAAAGACCTGGAGCCTCAGAACCAGGGAGACCAAGGATGCAGCCCGACTCCAGGACAGAAGGCCTGGAAATTCCCTGGGGGGTCACTGGTCAGAGTCTGCTTTGGAAGGTGAGCAAACTGGAGACTGCAGTCCTCAGGTGACCGCAGCAGCCACCAAGCACCTGCTCAAGAAGAACGGAGCGTGTGTCTGCGCCTGCTTCCTAGTTCTTCTAACATTTGTTCCTTCAAAGTCCCAACCTGTTGGTCGGTGCTGCCCACACTTAGGGCACTTAGTCTGTCCCTCAGTTTGCTGTCCCACATGCCAATCATTCCTAGAAACACACCAACAGGTCCAGAGGCCTCCTAAACTTAGGCCTCTCTCTCTCTCTCTCTCTCTCACCAAGGATTAAACCCAGGGGCATTTGACCACTGAACTACATCCCGAGCCCTTTTTTATATTTTATTTAGAGATGGGGTCTCGCTAGTTTGCTTAAGGCCTCACTAAGTGGCTGAGATTGACTTCAAACTCATGATCCTCCTGCCTCAGCCTCCCAAACCACTGGTCTCAGTTATCTCTTCATCCAATCAAGTTGACAAAGATTAACCATCACAAGCCCAACCCTTGTCAACTTGACACCCAAACATCTTTACATCACATCTAATCTCCAAATAAACACAACAGCAAGGCCATAATTCCACCCAAAATGATATAACTTTTCTTCATACAACTAAAAATACATTAGTTCCTTCCCCAGAACAGGAGGGGAAAATTTTTTTTTTTCTTGACTGATGCATGCTTTTCTGACACCCCACACCTTAAATACTCTATAATGTAGATGTACTATCATTTTGAGTACTGAAGTTAAGTCAACCAATATTACATTACATGATGAAGGAATAAAAGGGGACGGTCACATGTCTACTGAATGCGTGTGTACACGTGCACAGACATTCTTAACAGAGTGGGAAAGAAATATGCATGACCATTACGGCCCTTGCTTCTGTGACGGGTGGTGTGGCCGTAGTTGGTATTTATCATTATCTTCTACCACCCACTATGTATTTCCTGGGCCTTCGGCAAGCACCTCAGCAGGTCTGGCTTCTTTACCTGGAGGTGTGACCCACGCCTTCATTCCTGGAGGTTCCCTGCATCAGTCATCCTGCCTGCAGAGGGTGGCTATGGTTTCCCACTGACCTTGGTAAAGGACATGGTGAGAGCAGGGGACGCCAGGGATCTCCTGTGCCCCAGGAGCACCCCTCCTGGCCTCCGCTGTGGTAGTAGTCCATCTCCCCTTGGTCATTTGGATCAGTCCCCTGCATCCCCGCCAGCACCACAGCTCCTTTCTTAGCCTGTTGACTCTGAGGCACGAGGAGCCCAAAGTGGCCAGGGGAAGTCTGACTCTCCGTTTAATGCCGTCCTGTTGTGCCTCCTGGGAGAAGCATGCCTCCTTCTGGACCTGAGGCTTCTAGGCCAGCAGAGCATATGTTGCGGGGACAGTAAACAAATGCTATGGGTCCCTAGGGGTAGAGGGGAGTGGTCCCATTCCCATCGCCACCCCTTGAATTCCGGACTCGTGATCCTAGCCACGGGAGAGACGGGACCCTGTAGCAGACGCTGATGCAGAGTATACACAGCCTTCAGGAGAACCTGGTTCCAGCCCTGCAGGGCACTGCCACCTGGCTGGCACTGTAACTTCATCTTCAAAGGCCAGTCCAGGGGGCTGGAGTTGTGGCTCAGTGATAGAGCGATTGCCTAGCTGTGTGTGAGGCACTGCGTTAGATTCTCAGCTCTGCATACAAATAAATAAAATATTCGTCCATCAACAACTAAAAAGAAATTACAAAAAAAGATTAAAAAAGAAGGCCAGTCTATCAAATCAGCTGCTTTTTATAGCCCAAATCTAATGGGGTCTCTGGGTCTGCAAGCTGCCTTGTTGCGTACAGTGAATGGATCTTACAGTAGTGCCATCTTCTGCCTTCAGGCAGATGGAGCAGGGGTTAGATGTGGGTTTCCCTTGCACCAGAACAGGTGGGGCTCGAGTATTCAGCCTTGAGTGGGGTGGAGTGTTCAGACTTGATGCAAACAGGTGATAAAAGACCAGACTGACGGGGGGTTTGAGTGCGTGGGTTACCCTGCACCTAACATTCATTCAGCCTGCCCTGCTGACAACTTAGTTCAGCCTGCCCTGCACCTAACAATGGGGACATGAGAAGACCAGTGAATCTCCTGAGCAGGAGCCATTGCCTCACTTCTTGGGCTGAGAAGTGAGTTCCTTGGTCAGGAGCAACGCTGGGTGGGATACCAGGACAGTGGATGAGGCGTTCTGGAAGTCCTGGATGGTGGCTTGGGCAGAAGCACTAAGTGCAGGAAAGACAAATTCATACCCAGAACGAGCGTCCATCCCAGTAAGGACAGACCACTGCCCCTTCCATGATGGAAGTGGTCCAACACAGTCATCCTGCCACCGGGTTGCTGGCTGACCTCCCCAGGGAATGATGCCACATCAGGGACTGAGGGTCAGCCTCTGCTGCAGGCAAACTGGGCACTCAGCAGGGGCTGTAGCCAGGTCGGCCTTGGTGAGCGGAAGCCCATGCTGCTGAGCCCAGGCATAACCACCGTCCCTGCCACCGCGACCACTTTGTTCATGAGCCCATTGGGCCATGTCAGGGGTGGCCGGGGAAGAAGATGACTGCTATCCACAGACCCGCCATCCTAACCACTTGATTATTAAAGTCCTCCTCTGCTGAGGTCACCTTATGGTGAGTATTCACATGGGACACAAATATCTTCACATCCTTTGTCCGTTCATAAAGTTCTAAGCACACACCTCTTCCCCAAATGTCATCCATTTTCCAATCACGACCTTTCCAGGTCCCTGACCAGTATCCAAACTGCAGCCCGTGAATCAGTACACAGTTGACATCTGACCCTTTTTCCTTCCAAGCAAAATGTACAACCAGGTTCACTGTGCAAAACTGCCCATTGTGAAGATTTCCCTCCACGACTGTCCTTCAGGGTCGTCCCAGAAAGGGACAGTAGTGCTGCAGCTGTCCACGTCCAGGGGGTGGCTGTCTGGGAACCAGACCTAGCCTTCTCTTCCTTTATCAACTGGTCACAAGGGACACCCCAGGAGGCCACAGGCGCATGCTGGGGGACAGAGGCATTGTAGCAGGGGTAGGACCATGGGCACCGGGCCACGTGGTACAGCCTGTTCATGCCTTTGGGACCCACCGGGGCCTGATCCTGTATGTACCTGTTACATACATGGTTTGGATGTGAGATGTCGTCCTAAAGCTCGTGTGTGAAACAAGGCAAGAACATTCAGAGGTGAGATGATTGGGTTTTGAGCTTTAGCCCCGTCAGTGACTCAGTAACAGAGTGGTGACTGGAGGAGGTGGTCTGTGGCTGGAGGAGGTGGCATTGGGGGTGGCTCTGGGGTATCTATTTTGGATCTGGAGAGTGGAGTCTCTCTTTCTGCTCTCGGATCATCACGTGAGCTGCTTCCCCCCCCCCACACACACACACACTCTTCAGCCTTGGAGTCCTGTCTCACCTCAAGCCCCGGGGGACGGAGCCGGCTGTCTATGGACTGAGACCTCTGAAACTGTGAGCCCCTAAATGAACCTTTCCTCCTCCAAAATTGTTCTTGTCCCAGGAGTAAAAAAGCTAAGACCATACCCCTTCCACTGGGTGATGGACTGCTGCCCTGCACGTCCAACTTCATGGCTTGGTGGGTCCGGTCACCCTGGTTCATGATGGGCAGCTCAGGTCCCATAGTAACCTGGTGGCCCATGGTCAAGTCTCAGTTTCCTCTAAGGCCCAGTCTCAGGTCCAGGGCTGTTTCTCTTAGGGAGAGTAGTTGTCTGCAGATGATGGCAGGACCTTGCTCCCAAATCCCAACGGTCTCCTCTGTGATTCACCTACGGGGGCTTGCAAAAGGCTCCACACAGCGTCCCTGTCTGCCACGACACCTCCAGCACAATTGGGTCTGCGGGTTATATGGCCCAAGGGGCAGAGCAGCCTGCATGGCAGCCTGGGCCTGTTGCAGAACCCCCTCCTGCTCTGGCCACACTGGAAACAAGCAGCTTTTGGAATCGTCCAGGAGAGGGGCCAAAGTGACCCACCAAGTGAGGACCATGCTGCCTCCAAAGCCCAAATGGGCCACCAGGGGCCCTGCTTCCTCGTGACTGCAGGAGGGGCCAGACGCTGCAACTCTGCCTGAGGAGGGGGGTCGCGCAGGCCCACACACAGGCCTCCTAGAAACCTTATTGAGGTTGAAGACCCTTGAATTCTAGTGGGATTCATTTCCCATCCTCTGAAAAAATGCTTCACTAGCAAGTCCAGAGTGGTGGCTACCTCTTGCTAAGTAGGTCCAACCCATACACGTCATCCACATAAAGGACCCACATGATACCTCATGGAAGAGAATGGTGATCAAGATCTCTGTGAACTACCAGGCGTGGTAGTGCACACCTGTAATCCCAGCAGCTCAGGAGGCTGAGGCAGGAGGGTCACAAGTTCAAAGCCAGCCTCAGCAAAAGTGAGGTGCTAAGCAACTCAGTGAGTCCCTGTTTCTAAATAAAATACAAAATAGGGTTGGGGATGTGACTCAGTGGCCAAGTTCAATCCCTGGTACCCCCGCCTCCCCCCAAAAAAGAGATATCTAAGAAATAAGCTGTGACCACGGCTGGAGAGCTGGCATACCCCTGAGGAAGGACCATGCAGGTATATTCTGGCCTTGACAGCTGAAAGCAAATTGCTTCCAGCAGTCCTTAGGCACAGGGGTGGAGAATAAAGCACTCGCCAGATCCGCAGCTGCGTACCAGGTACAAGGAGATGGATTCATCTGCTCAAGCAAAGAAACCACATCTTGTACAGCAGCAGCGACTGGAGACACGCCATTCTCCAAGACCCAGCTGTCTCCTGCACAGACAAATAGGAGAGCTGAATGGGGATGTGGTGGGATCACACCCCTGCCCTCGGTGGTGGCACTAATCTGCCACCTGCCAGGGATGCGATGCGGTTCTGCTTTCTGCTTTTGATCCACTATTTTCCCAGGTATCGGCAACTCCAGAGGCTTCCATTTGGTCTTTTCCACCATAATAGCCCTCACTTGGTTTAACCTAGGTGAGGGTTTGCCAAGTGCTAAGGCTATCTATCCTGAATGGGGGAAGTAACCACAGGATGAAGTTGGGACCTACTGGTTCTACTGTGAGTCAGACCTTGACCAAATCTCCATTGATCACCCAAACCCCAAGACCCCCTACCTTTACTGGAGGGCCACCCTCATATTCGGGGTCTCCAGAATTAAGAGCCATTCATTCAGAGCCTGAGCCTAATAGTCCCTGAAGGGTCTGACCACTGCCTTTTCCCTAGTGCACAGAGACGTTCCTAGAAATGCCCTCCCTGACGTACCCAGAAGCCTCTTCCTCTTAGCCACTCTTAATCCAGGCAAGTGGGCAATTCCTTCATGCCCCGTGCGAGGCCAAGTGGGCGGGCTCCTTCCCTGGGCCAGGGAAGAGCTTCAGTGCGAGGAGAGGTCTTCAGGCTGCACGCACAGGGCCCTGGCGCCACCCTGCCGGAAGCCATGCTCCATCCGACTCTGAGAGAGGCCTGAGACCCAAAGGCCCGGAGCGGCTTTGTCCTCCCCCAGGCTGGGCCCTGAGCACAGAAGGCCTGGGTCCGGCTGGGCTTTAGTCACCATTCAGGGCACACATGTGCTTTGGGGATGGGGGATACCCTCGGATGGGGTGGAATACAGGGCGCTGGGACGCTACTTGCTCAAAGCAAAGCTGTCCCCTGGAGTCTGCACTGGACACCTGGTCAGGGTCCAGCCAGTGCAGGCCCTGGCATTTCCAGGACCCCCAGGCAGAGCTCTTGGGGCACAGCCTCGGCCTGCAGCCGGTCAGTCCCTTGTCCACCAGGGCAACCAAGGCCAGGCCTCCTCAGCACCCCACAGAGCACGCCAGGAGGCTGGGCCTGGGGCACTTCCTGGGGAGGGGACTGTACCTGCCCATGGCAGAACCTCCTGGGGCAGCGTCCCCTGCCACAGCCTTGCAGTGTGACCCCTGGCAGCTCACAGGCCCGCTTGGGTCTCCATTTAATCACCCACAGGGACAAGTAGACAATAGGTCCAGAAGGCGGGAGCCTTCCTTGGCCAGCCTGACTCCAGCATTTCTCCGCTTCCCTTGGAGTCGCATCAGCTGCTGGGGGGTCTAACTGTGCCCCCTCCCCAGGCCACAGCCCCCTGGGGGGGCCTTCCTACCCTACAGCCTGTCTTGGCTGGGTCCACCCTCCTGTGCTGAGTGGGGGCAGCAGCGAGGGGCTTCCATTTGCACAGGAACAAGGGGGAGGGCAGGGAAGGGGGTGTTCTTGGGTGCACATGCCTGGTGCACTTCCCATGGGAGGGCTGGGGTGACATCTATGGCACGAGAGGAGCTCCCAATGGCTCCCCATCCTGTGGAGCAGGGAGAGGCGGGGAGGCTGGGGAAGGAGTGGGGGCCTGGGTCCCAGGAGGAGCACGAGGAAGCTGTCCCCGCTGGTCTACCCCTCAGGGATGCCGTGCCTCTGGGTCCTCATTGCTCATTATGCCCCCTGCCCAGTGACTTTTGTCCTGCTGCAGAGGTCACCAAACGCTGTCCTATGCCGGTAACAACAAGTGACTACGGTGGCATGACTAGCAGCAAAGCAGTCCGAGGCCCGCAGGGGAAACTCCCTGTGTGGCTTCTGTGTCCCCTTTGTCCTCCTGCACACTCAGGACTTTTCTGCAGAAGGACCCAAATTCCCCTGGCCTTCCAGGGAACAGTCATGGGAGCTGGAGCAGAAGGTTCTAGACTAGCTCTGGGCTGGTGCAGGCTGCCTGGCTGGGAGCCGAGCACAGCAGCACACCCAGCCACCTGGGACACCCTGGGGCTGCACATGGGACCAGGGACCCGGTGCAGCCTCTGCCCTTGGGGGGTTCACCAACATGTGTAGGTGAGATAAGAGCCCCAGGGCACAGGGTGGGAAGCTGCTTCTGGCCCGCAGATCTTGGAGGGCTGCCTGGAGGAGGTGCTGGTGAGCTGGCCTGGTAGGTGGGATTCCTACCCAGGTTTTTCACAGGAGGCCCCGCTTGGCAAAGGCAAGTAGGAGGGAAGGTGCCCAACACTAAAGGAAGGAGGGGTGAGACGGCTGGGCAGGGCCTTCCGGCCTTATGTGGACACAGCAAAGCCCAGGGACATTCTTTTTTATTTTTAGGTGCTGGGGATGGAACCCAGGGCCTTATGCATGTGAGGCAAGCACTCTGCCAACTGAGCCATGTCCCCAGCCCCCAGGGACAGTCCTAAGGTGGTTTCCTTCCCAGGGATTAACCAGACTTCTCTCTCCTCCATTCCCAGGCCGTGGAACGGACTCCAAGGGACCTTCCAGGTGGGATGCCCTGGAGTCTGCGCTGGGAGCGGGGCCTCGGGAGACCGTGCTGTGAGGACTCTAGGATCTGGAGGTGCCGTTGGGGCAACTGTGGGGGGCTGCCAAGAGGAGGCGACGGCAGCGAGGCAGGGCTGTGAGGAGGGGCAGCCGAGAGGGCGCCCTGGAGAGGGGCAGGGAGGGCGGGCGAAGGCAGGGCGCAGGTCTGCCAGCAGCAGAGCCGGAGAGCGGGATCCCGGTGGGAAGGTGGCCATGGTGACTCAGTCCCCACTAGCTCTGGCTGAGCTCTGCCACCCTGCTGTCCCCACCCCAAGGCTGCTGTCTTCAGGGAGTCCCTGGGGTGAGACCAGCTGGAGGGGATCCATGCCCCCCAGCTTAGGGCAGAGTGGCCGCACCTGCAGGATTCGAGGCAGGAAGGGTCCCTGCTCCCACGCGGGGTCTCTACAGGCTTGGGAGCAAGGCCGCCTGGGGGTGGGGCGGAGTCAGCGGTGCTGTCGGTCCCAGGCTGGGGTCAGGTGACTCATCACCCTCACGGGGCTAGACAGTGGAGGCAGGAGCGCCGGGGTGGGCCTGCTTTCCCAGGTGGTGCCAGCCTCAGTAAGGCTCCAGCAGGGGCAGGGCTGCCCAGGGCCCTGAGCATCCGGGTGAGGTTCCAGCCACCTGCACCCGTGGCTCCGCCCTGTGAGGTGGGGGTGGGGGCCTGGGTCCGTGGTTCTCATGTGGTTTCCACGTCTCATCCCCAAATATGGCCCCCTTCCAGAGCTGAAGCACTCCCCCATGACTCCAGGTGGGGGCCTGCTTGGCTCTCAGGTCAGAAGCCCAAGGGTCGTTGCTGCCCGGGCTGTCACTGTCACTCGGAGCCCATGTTCAACCAGCAAGCCTGGGCGCCACCCTGGATCCAACTGCCCCTGGTCATCCTCGGCCTCCCCTCCACCCTCTGTGGGTCACACTAGGTCCCAGCTCCACGGATCCACTAGCCCCACGCCCAGGGGTCCTTCCCAGATCAAAGCTGTCCCTTGTCCAATGCCTCAGCGCCTCCCGTCACCCTCAGGGTGGAGCCCAGGTTCCTGGGACTGTGACCCTCAGCTCACCTCCCACCCGCCCCCCCGCCTTTTCTTAGCTGTAGGTGGACACAATGTCTTTCCTTTGCTTATTCATTTTTACGTGGAGCTGAGGACGGAGCCCAGGCCTCACGGTGCTAGGCGCCCCCACCGCCCCCAGCCCCAGCCGGGCCCCACTTGGTTCCTGATTCCCTGACACCCTCTTCCACTCCCCCTCCCACTTCCTGTCTCTCCCACCCCCCTTCAGATCCCAGCCTGGACCCCCCACTTCCTTCCTTCAACCTCCACCCTCGTCTGTGTCTCCAGAGGTCACTGACTTCCCCTGTGCGGTGACGGCTGGCTTCCCCGGGTCTCTGCAGAGACTGGGACCCTGGAAACAAGGACCTCCATCCGCTGGGCTCCAACTCGTTCCTCCAGCGCTGAGCACCTGGTAAGGCTCCATGAAGCATGCTCAGGGAAAAGAGCAAGAGGCCGGGGGGTGGATGGGTGGGTGGGTGAATGAGTGATGGGCGCGTAAAAGAGTGGACGGACATGTGGATGAATAGTGGACGGATGGACGGAAGAGGGAAAGGTGGTGTGTGCGTGGATGTGGGTAGATGGAGGGGTGGGTGGAGGGGTGGGTGGAGTACGGGTGGAGGGGCTGATGGCTGGTGATGGAGGGAAGATGCATGCATAGATGTGTGGACAGATGGATGATCCCGCACATATTTAGTTTCTCTCTCTCTCTCTCTCTCTCTCTCTCTCTCTCTCTCTTTTCTTTTTTTCCCTTTGATTCTAGGGTTGAACCCAGAGGGGCTTAACCACTGAGCCACATCCCCAGTCCTTTCTATTTTTTGAGACAAGGTCTTGCTGAGTTGCTTACGGCCCTGCTGAGCTGCCCAGGCTGGCTGCCTTGGACTTGCGGTCCTCCTGCCTCAGCCTCCCGGGTCCCTGGGATCACAGACGTGCTCCAGTCTCCAGGGGCGGCTGTGCTCCCAGAGCCTCCTCATCCCAGAAGGGCCTCCTGTCGTAGCCACACCCCATCTGCTGGCTCTTCACGTCTCCCCCCGGGACCCTCCCCTCCTGCTGACCCCAGGGTCCTCCTCTCTGGTGCAGACCTCTCCTTGACCCCACACTCCCCCACACCCTCCTCCTACTTCTCCATGGCGCTTGGCCTGCACTTCTCCCTCCCGTTTCCTCTCTGCCCACTTGTGAGTCCTTAGTGTCACGGCTTCTGCTCCTGCTGCTCAGGGAAGCCACCCTCTCTGGGCCTCTCAATCCCCCGTGGCCACTCTCACCAAGGACCGTGTGGGGCAGTGGTTACAGCAGATGCCCTGGAAGCCTCTTCGACTCGTTCCTGGTCGTGTAGCCAAGAACCCTCTCCCGGGCCCCGTTTCCTGTCTGTGAAACGGGCACCATGACGGACACTCCCTCGTGCCATGGCTGGGGGAATTCACTGAGGTCACCTGGAAAGTTCCTCGTCTCCAGCTGGTTCTGTCAATGTCCTCGTCCTCCCTGGGACCCTGTCCCTTCTCGACACTCCTCTTTGCTTGGACCTGAGTCTTCCCGGGGATCCCCGGGGCTCGGCTTCTCATGAACGTGCCTGAGCTGGGCAGGGTCCTGAGCAGTGGCGTACTGTCCTTGTGACAGTCTTACAGATGAGGACACTTGGTGACCAACCAGAACGGTTTGAAAACGACTCCCAGGGCACAGCTGGGAAGGGGACAGCCAAGGTCAAGGTTCTGTGCTAGACTTTGATCTCGCCTCAAGCAGCCCCCTCTCCCTCCCCGACGTCGTCCACCCCAGACCTTCGTCCTCTGGATGGACACTTCCTTAATCTCCCGCCTCAGCTCTGGCCATTGGCCAGCCGGACACACCCTGGTAATGGCCGCTCCCCTGGCCCCTGCCCAGGCTCCCAGCCCTGCAGCTGTGGCTCCTGGACCAGGACAGGAGGGTGGAAACCTGCCCCTCCCTGGGGAAACGGCCCCGCCCGCACCCAGCACCCACTCTGGAGTTTTGCCCTGACTCATTCTCACCTCCAGCCCCCACGTGGCCTCAGAGACCCTCTGCCTGCTCACCTCCTCCTCACCCCAGCAGCTCCACCCCTTCTCTCCCCACCCGTCTCTACAACATGCCTGTCTCCTCCTCTCTGGTGGCTCCTGGCGCCCCCCACCCAGCAGGCTCAGACCTGGGGGGTCTTTCATCAGGGCCGGTTTGACCGTGGGATGCCCTCCTCAAGAACCACCCGTGGCTCCCTGCTCTTTTCCCCATCCAGCTGAGACTCTTCAGGCCAATCTCACGCGGTGCCCTGGGTCTGGCCCCTCGTCCCTCTGCACCCTCATCTCACTGCCCCCCATTCGGCGTCTGTGAGCGCGAGTGTGTCCCTCTCTATGACTTAATTCGCCACTCCTCACACCCCTGGCCTCTTCTTTTCTGGATCATCGCCCGCTCCCTGAGCCTAAGTCTCTCCACATCCCATCTGTGACACCCCGTGACACTGCCTGGCTGGGGGTAGCCTGGTCTTGAACCTGGCTCTGTCTCATCAACAGGTGGTGAGTCTTGGTTTCCACGGCTGCAAAATGAGCATTTTGTCCTTCTACTGTGGGTACCTTGGGAGGCTCTGTTGGCCTCCCGGCCTCTGAGCTGTGTCTGGCATGTGGCCCTGTGTCTGATGACAAATGTCATCTCTATGCCATGACTCCCCAGGTTCTCTCCAAGCCCCAGACTCGTGTCACCAGCTGCCCACTCACGGTGCCAAATAGGCCTCTCCAAGCGCCGCATCCATCAGTGAGATCCCTGGCCCCCACGTCTCTCCACCCCCGTCCCCAGCCAGCCTCTTCCTTCCGGTTACTGGGGCCAGAAACCTGGGTGGCTCCAGATGCCTCTTCCTCTGACCGCCACTTCCCATCTGCCGGGGAGCTCCTGGCACAGCTTTCTAGATATACCCAGAAGCACCGCCTCTCCCTGGGTTCCTGCACCGCCACCCTGCAGCCTCCTGCAGCCTCCTGCAGCCTCTCTCAGCCTCCCTCAGACTCCCTCAGCCTCCCTGCAGCCTCCCTGCAGTCTCCCTGCCTCCACGCTCATCCTGCAGTCTGTCCTCAGCAGCAGGCAGAGTTGCTGTGGCTCCTGAACTCGGAGTGTCCCCGTGGCCCTGCATTCACTCAGGGGACAAGCCTGTACCTTCTCTGGTGTCCTCCTAGTGTCCCCCGCTCCCTCCCCACACTGGCCTCCTCCCTGGCCTTGCAGGACGTTGGCATGCACTGCCCTCTCCATCTAGAACCTTCTCCCCTGGCTCCTGCTCAGCTTCCTCCCGAGCCCCATTCAGACCTTTGTTTCAATGTCACTTACTGCCAGGTGGGTGTCACCGCCTGCCTCTCAGGTCTGCGGCTTGTGGCCTGTCTCCCACCTGTACCCCACCCTGCGGCCACTGGGACCTAAGTCCCACGGGACAGAGGGGAGCACGTCCCCAGGCCCGCGGCAGGTCCTCGGTACTGGCATGTGATCTGAATGAAGGGTGGCTGGCTGGCGTTGTTCCCGGGGCCTTCTCTCCGAGTCTCTCTCACGCTAGTGGACGTGTCTCCTTGTCCCTCTGGTGCCTGGGCCCCAGGACTCTGGGCTCCCCTCGGGCACCACGAATCGATCCCTTTATCCGCGGCTGGGCCCAGCTCTCTTTCCAAGGGACACTTGCTCCTATTCTTTCAGAGGCAGGTCATTGGTTTCCTGATGGCCATGGGACAGCTCAAGGTCACTACCGCAGCCCCCACCCCCCTCCGTGACAGAGGCCTTTGAGAAGCCAGAAGCCAGCTGTTGCCGGCCTGGCCGCCTGCCTCGTGGTGGCAGGGGCTTCCTCCTGCCGCTCTGTGCTCCTAAGAGACACTCGTTCAGCACCAGGGTCAGCGCCAGAAGCCCTTGGCCTGGGAAGGAGGACCACGGACCCCAGGAGGCCACTGCAGCTGGCCTCTGTAAGGCCCTGGGGGTCATCCTGCCCAGCCCCTCACGCCAGGAAGCCAGCAGGGAGAGGGGTCGCCCCTCATCAGTGCCCGGAGACGGGACTCCTGAGTGGTTCCTGCTGGGTCGGCTCACCCCAGGGGGGCTGGGGCCACTTCTGAGCGGGACCCAGAGCCAGGAAGCAAGAGCCTAGAGCCCTTTCTGGAGAGAAGCTGGTCCCAGAGCCACTGGATCCAGGCCAGAACGGGCCCTGGCCCTCCTTCCACATGGCCGGTCCCCAGCCCAGCTGATGCCAGGACCCTGCAGCCCCTCCTGGGTGCAGCCAGCGCCCTCAACCCCTCGCTGCTGCTGCTGCTGCTGCTATTTTTAAATGAAACTAAAACTATCTGATCCAGCTCCAGGAATAAAGTGGCGATTCTGTTGGAGACACACTGAGTTTACAGGTTACCTAGGGAGGATGGCCCTCTACCCCCGGGCTCCCCCCTGCTCCTGGTGACCTGGTCTCCGGCCACCTCCCCCCCCCACCCCCATAGCTAGTGCAGGGTGACTCACTCCTTCTGTCCTCTCCGTGGGGCTCATTGAAGACATGCTTCCAGCAGTTGGTGACAGGTGAATGAGGAGAAGGGACCCAGGTCTCACCCCAGCAAAGGCCCGGGAGGGTCACTGCAGTGTGATCACTGCGGGGGGTGTTTTCGGGAGGGAGTGGGAGTCAGAAGTAAAACTGACCAAAGGGACCGGGGTCTGGGTGATCCCCAGGGCCAAGAGCCACCCAAGAGCCCCTCAGGTTGACAGATGCACGACTCCTGTCCCCAGGGGTTCCTGAGTCCTCCGTGGCCTAGGAGGGGAAGGGGAACCAGGATTTGGCAGCCACCAGCCCACACACTGCTGCATACTTTACTAATTAATGTGCGTGTCCCTAAACACCGTGCATTTGTTTCTCGATGTCTGGAGAAGACGGGTTACAGGAGCCCCCTTGAATGCCAAAATCCACGGAAGCTCAAGTCTCTTCTATAAAATGATGGAGGTAGTATTTACATAGGATCTGTGACGTCCTCGAAGTCACCTTGGATTACACGTAACACTAAGCACAAGGTAAATGCGGTCAATAGCTGTTCGACTCTTATTGTTTAGGGAATAATGATGAGAAAAATGTTCATTTTTCATGGGGAACAGAATAACCTCTGTTCAGTGCAGATCAGTTTTCTTCTGAATATCAGTTGGTTGATTCCGTGGATGCAAAACGCTACAGAGGCTACTGGTACTGTATGGCTTATGCACATTTTAAGCTGTATTTTTTACTATATATATATATATTATTTAGTTGTAGGTGGACACAATATCTTTATTTTATTTATTTTTATGTGGTGCCAGAGATCAAACTCAGGACCTCACACATGCTAAGCAAGCACTCTACCACTGAGCCACAACCCCAGCCCACACATTTTAAGCTTTATATTAACACCATCACATTGTACCTGTTCTTTTAGAAACTTGCAGCATTGTGAGTTATTTGTGTTGATAATCACCAGTGTGTTTCCTTCTTTGCATCACAGTGTGGCAGTTCATATATTAACTAAACCACAAATAACTAAAAACTACTGAGATCTCTGCCATCAAAGCACCTGCTGCTTATACATTTACTAACTGTGTGACTTTGAGTAAGTTCTTTAACCTCTCTGTGCCCTTGTACTCCCATCTTGCAAATGGAACCCTTATGAATATGAGCTTTTCTTAGAATATGGCAGGAGTTGTACTATAAAATTCACTCAAAGGCTCACAGCAGGGCTGAGGTGTAGCTTGCTGGTAGAGTGCTTGCTTACCACGTGCAAGGTTCTAGGTTCAATCCCCAGCACCATACAAAACAAAAGAACAGCTGGGTGTGGTGGCACATGCCCGTGATCACAGGAACTGGGGAGGCTGAAGCAGGAGGATCGAATTTGAGGCCAGCCTCAGCAACTTAGTGAGAAGGCTCACTAAGCAATTTAGTGAAACCCAGGCTCAAAAACTTAGAAAAGGGGGCAGGGGCTGGGGATGTGGCTCAGTGGTAAAGCACCCCTGGGTAAAATCTATGGTACCAAAAAAGAAAAGAAAAAAACAGAATAACAGTAACAGAAGCAAAGGCTCACAGTGATGTGATGGGGACAGTGACCCTCACCAGAAGGCCAAAGTCTCATTCTCATTGATGCCTCTGGAAATAGGTGGCTAGCTCCTGCCCCCACCCTCCCTGGCCACCAAGCCCAGGAAGAGGAACCTGGGCCATCTGGATGGCATCTCTGTCTGATGGTAGTCATGACAACGTGTGAGCACCTGGAAACAGGTCCCGAGTCGCAGGCGCACACTGGGTGGACCAGGGACAGGGGTGGGCAGGAGCCTGGGGCAGAGGCGGCCTAGTCCAGCTCCGCGAGACTCCCCCTCAGCTGCGCCCTCCTGTGGGGAGATTGGGAACAGCAGGGCCTCGTTCCAGTCTCAGGGGGCCTGTCCTGACCGGGATGTGATGGTGGCTGAAGGGTCAGAGGGGGCAGGAGGGCCTTGGACCCCTCTTCACTGGAGACCACCTTCGGTCTGGCACCTCCCTTGGAGGCAGTCTGTCAAATCCCCCAGTATGCGGGGACCTGCCTCTCCCCTGACCCACAGCGGGGAGGTGGCTCTGGCCCCTCCCCCCTTCACTCCTTCCAGGACCTGTGGTGGCCGCTGGGCAGACAGAAACACAGGAGAGGCTGCTTGTCCCCAGGAACCTTCCAGAAACACCGCGGAGCCATCGGGCATGGCGGGCCGTGTGCGGACTGTCTCTGCACAGGGGCAGCAAGTCCCCATAGCTGGGAACCGGAGAAGTCAGGGAAGGTGACATCCAAGCTGAGACCGGAAGAGGGTAGGAGGTGGCCAGGGGAACAGTGACTGTGGGTGAATTATCCAGGCGGAGAGAAGACGATACAGCAGAATGTGTGGCCACAGGACTGGGGGAGGGGGTGGGAGAGAAGGGG